ATTCTCACTCGAACGGTTTTGCAACTTTATTACAGTGATCGAGATTTGTTGGCTAACATAAGGCAGCTAAGGTCTAACGAAAGCGCAAAGTGGCCCATATAGACGGCTGGATTTGTGAGTTCACTGCTGGAAGTCATAGTGGAAGGGTACGAGGTGGTCACTATAGAACCCGTCTGTGACGGAGCATTTTGCCCCCGAGTTCATTAGTCGGAAGGATCTGCGAATATGAATAAGCTTGGCCCTCTATAACTTTCCACAGAACTGCTGAACCTTCTCAAATCAAGACAAATCAAAGGAAATTTCGAACAAAATGCGACCGCTGAAGAGTTAAAGCAATATTCCACACTTGCCATATGGGCGGAGACAAGTCTGGTGATGCTTCTTCTTTACTGGTAAGTGGCTCGGCTCCCCAACCCCTATAGAAGAAATGTTGAATGTGCTTTCGAGCAGTACTGCCGGCTGGTTGCTGGCTGGAGGTGCTCCGTAGCTCGAAGTGAAGTCAAAGACATTTTGGCGCGGTTTGGCTTGATGAGGGCACGAAATGGTACTCAGCGAAGCCTGTGCAGGTCACCTTTGATGTGCTATGGATTTTTGTAACCGAAGGGGCTCCCTTGTACTACATGGCAGTTGCACAAGAGTCTAGCTGATAATCAACGTGAACTAGCAAAAGGAACCAGCGGGAACGAAAAATGCCCCCCCTAAGCCGAATAGTGCCCAATTTTTCATCCAAAGCTGTAGTACTCACGTTCTTTGGCCCATGGTCTGTCTTGATGCCGACATCGCCGACGGGTATCGTATCCGTGCACGACTTACACTTCTGAAAATCAGTTTTGTTTTATAAATAGTAAAAGTAAGCAAACAGCAAACAACAGTTTCCTCACCACTGGTCCCACATTGATACCAGCAATTTCTTTGGCGAGCTCTTCAAGATCGTTCGTGTCAACGCCAGCGCTCTTCTTCGCTGTGACTTCTTGGACCTGGCCCACACCGATAACCTAAAATACCTCCTGATACTTCATTGTTATCAAATTCTCATGTGTAACGTTGTGCCACAGAGCCATTTAAGCCCCTACTGACGCGGCCGAAGACCGATAAATCAACTATTTCTCTCTGATCGACGAATCGTCAGAAATCCATCCGGCCTATATTAGCCGACTCTATCTGGAATCTTTGGTTACTGTAAGCAAGGCTACATTTTAGTGATTGCTAAAGTCCACACTATCATTGCGTGGATGGCCCGCCCACCGGAACCAAGCCACACCCACTAGAGAATAACCCCTCCTATTGTACGGATCTCATTTCGCATGTGCATAAGATCCACAGATAGGAGAGCAGACAATAAGTGGAAACACAGATTCACAACTTCTGAACCCATGTTAAGAACAGCAACCCTTATGGTATTGGATGAATTTAGTTCCAGATAAGGACCCAATACTGCTGAAGCTGCGTTCATACTTAGTGGCCGCCAGTCGGGTGAATCGAGCGCAACTGCAAGCGAGATGGAGCTCGCCGTCATCCTCGTTTGCTGTGTAGTGAGGTTGAGTGCTCGAGATAGAGGTTCTTCGCGCTCCTCACGCGAGTCGCTCGGATCGCGCGATCACTGTTCGCCGACTATGAACTCCTATAGCATCAACTTCAGAATAGGTCTTACATGTTTGCGGACGTTTTCGAGAAATCGTCGGAAGACTTCTTTGTCTTGTT